TCCCCCGGCTCGGGGCGGAAGCCACCCTTTTCGGTCCCGAGTCCCGGTCCGGGGGGGGGTGGTGGCAGGGCCGCCTCCGCCGGTCTGTGGGCAGACAGTGGAAGATTTTGGCACTCGAAGTACTCGGAGTCTGTCGGCAAGAGAAAAGAGCCGCGGAGAAGGGATTTCATGCTTGCAGGAGCTGGAGATAGCTGGGGCGGCGCCTTATCTCCTTGGCACGAGTCTGCAGGTAGCCTAAATCTGTTTTTGAAGTGTGCTAAATGTTTCCAAAACAGCAGCGCGCCTGGACCGGGCATTCTTTCAGATTCTCTCAGTTTTCTTTCAGTTTCACAAGCGGGGTTTTCATTCTCAAAGTACCAAAATAATGATTGTGCGTAACTGCCGTGTGCTCCATGTACTCACGCATAGCCTTCCGAGTGAGGCTTTTTTTTTTTTGTCGCAAGAAAAACCATGGCATATACCCATAGGGAGTTAGGAAGATGATGACGTTGGGTATGTTAGTGGTACAAGTCAAGTTTAAAACAAGTGTTGCACTTACTGATAATGCAGGGTCTATTCTGGCAGGGACGCTGTATCATTCCCTTAACAATATCACAGGTGAAACTCAGTTTCACAGTGCACGTCATGTAGGTTGACTGGTAATTTCTTATTACCAATAACATACATAGGTAATATGTTAACATATTAATAACATATATAGGTACCCTATATATAATAAAAAAGGTAATTTTCTTTCTTGTGGCTAAATAACAGGCTTCAGTGTGTCAAGCTTCAGTAGCATTTGAAATCTGTGCAAAGCACACTTTGAGCCCTTACAGTGTTTATTTTCTCTGTTCATACAGGTCCATCAGGGCCTGTTTCAAGACAGCCCTCTTATAGCTCTGAAGGAGTCTGGTGCAAGGCATAGCAAAGTCTATGAGAAGCTGTATTTTGGTGTACGGGAGGTGAATAAAAACATACACAACTATGTATTGGCTAGCGTCAACTAAAAACATTAGAACTGAATGAAAAAAGGGTTTGGTTTGTGTAACTCAGGTGCAGGAGGCAGAAACTAATACCCCATCCCACTCTCTCTAATGGCAATTTCTGGAAAAGGGTCTCTACTCAGCATCCTTAGAAAATTAAGACCTTTAAGTGATTTTCTTGAAAAACAGGTAACTTAGTAAGCTATACCTAGGGATCTGTGCTCTCAGTCACTCTCTTCGCTTCTCCTAGTGAACAAGGATTCACTGGATATTGTTTTCCTTGCATAAATTGACACATTCTCATGCAGCTGTTTTTAAAAAAAATATTTTCCAGTAAAAAACTGTTGTCCAAAAATAAAAGTCCCACCAGAGTACAGTGACAAGGACTTTCATTTTCTTCTCTTTTTAATACAAATTCTTGGCATTTTACCATGCCAGGGTCTGATACAGTGAGTTTTGGTACCCTTTAGCCTATTACTCATAATTTAACCTCATGCAGAACTTCCACTGGAATCACGGAAGAGTTGGCTTTTCAAGAAGGACATGGTGGTTAGAAAATTGCTTTCCTTTATTGTCCAAATTTACACCAAAACTGTTTCAGTATTACTCCCAAAGAAGTAAGTTCAACTAAACAGGTATCGTTCTTTTGCCTCATGTTGCTGACTCCATCATGGAAAAATCTTGCATGGTCTCTCACAGGGTGAACGGATCAGGTTTTGTGAGCAGCCATATCCTGTTCTCCAGCATGAGTCCCTGCCTGCCCTCCAAGGGACAAGAGCATACAAGCAGTGCCACAGGAACACTGCCCAGACCCCCACTGCACATGGGGATGCTTGGCTGGTAAAGGCCACAGATGAAATGTCAGCTCTCAGTGCTTTACCTGTAGATGAAAAGGGAGCTTTAGCAAGGAAAACGCTGCTGTCAGGTATGAAGACCCAAGTTATTGTTAAGTTAGCAAAATAAGGACTGTGTTTAACTGAGTGGTTTGCAGAGCAGTGTGGTGCTGGAAATAGAGACAGGTTCAAAGTGTGAGTTATCATTGAAATGTTGGTGTAATTAACTTAGCTGAGTAGAATATTAAGTAAATAGAACAATTATTAAGCTAAAAGCTCCTGTTGAAGGCATGAAAAGAGTAAGAGTTGTGGAATAAAAGTTAATATTGTTAAGTACTGCCAAACATAAGTGTTTGATTTAAGCCAGCTGGGATAGCAAGTGATGTGTGTTGGCTGTACAAGGAAGAAGGTACCAAGGCACCAACATCCACTTGGAGTTCGTTGCTTAGCCTTTCTCAGCAGGTTGGGCTGTTTGTTCAGGAGCTGGATTTAGTAAGTGCTCCTTTCTCTCATCTAGCCTCACATTCCAGTTTTGGGAACTAGGCAAGCAATAGGCATCATGTCTCTAATTGCAAAAATCAGCTAATCATTGTGGCAACAGAGGGGGAAGAGAAGCATGTGGGAGGGGAAAGAAGGATGGACCCCTTACTCATGTTCATCTATGAATGTCACAGCCAGAAACAAAGTAACACAGGCACTGTTGGATCAAAAAACCCTGTGTTCCTTCAGCCAGTATTGTTCACTTTCCATTCTTTTGGTAGCAGTTATTTGCACTGAGGCGCTTGGAGGCAGTCAGGGTTTACCACATCAGGGTTGATGCATAGTTTAGTGGACCAGCTATGCGTTGGTGGAGGAGCTTTGGGCATCTCTTGGAATAAAAAAGGCCTGAGCTAGGCACCAGGCTAGGGAGGTCTCAGCTCCTCATCTTTGGATCCTTTAGCCCCATCACATGGTTGACACATCACAACTGACCAAAGTGTTTGGGCACTGGTGTTAGCAGCTGTTGATCCTGCTTTTTGTGATACACCTTTCTCAAAGTGCTGGTTATTATCCTTGACTTCCTTCTTTACAAGCCGAAGGTCTTAGTCTTGCCTGTGCACTTCTCTTGACTCTGTAGTGACTCTGCCGTAGAGTTTTTTCTCGCTTTTACAGTGTTAGTGTCCAGAACTAATTTAAAGGACCAGTGCACCAGGTTGGTTACCTTGAATGTACAAGCAAATACTCAAGCAAATGTCCAAGCCTGGGACCTCAAAGACCTTAAAGCATTCAGTGTTAGAAAGGTGGCCAGAGCAAATTCATCCTAAAGCAATGGGGAACATCTCTTGGGTGACCAAGGAGTTCTGTTGGGAAGTTTGTTTGAAAAGAGTATAGATGTCTTGCTGATTCATCCATAGCCGTCTTTGACAATAATGGACCAGGTGTCAGGTTTAGGATTGATTTCATTTGTCCAGCTCCCTTGAAACGTATTTTCTTCATTCTTCCGTGATTTAAGTGTTTTATTTATCTGCACCCTAAGAGTATATAATAGTCACTTCTCTTCCATGGCAACGCCTGTTTCCAGAATTTGCCATCTGGTGTTTCATGTTTCTTTCTCTCTTTCCTTTTTTCCCCTTTTTTTTCAGCAGCTCTAACATTACTCATTCTGCATCCATTTTGACTTCAGCATCTGAGTGACATTTTCTTTATTGCTCATCAGAAATTTCAGTAGGTCTGTATTCTAGGCCCTCTGCAGATATATAGCTAATTAAGCTGGTTATATTCCCCTTTAGAAGGAGAGAGATGCTGCTTCATATGAAGTATTAATGGACTATAATATTCTTGCAATTTTTGCTAGTGTGGTATTTATTTATATGCTATGATTTTAATAGGGTTTTTCTGACTACAAATTTAAAACATCTGCTCTTTAGACAGTGTAAATCATATAAGCCATCTGTGCATTTAAAAGACTAGGCAGCCAAAAACTTCTTGTCTACAGTTTAGCAGCCTTTGCGTATTTTTCTCTATACAAAAAATAGAAAATGCAAAAGGTAATGTCATACACATAAAAAAATGGGCGTGCAGATAGCTGCTAAACAGTGCATTTTTGGTCCTCTTGATCCTCTTAACTTCCTTCCTATTGCTTTTTTACACCTATTTGATCTTGCCTTTACATATGTTTTTTTATTTGCTGCCTTAGAAACTGCTGTCATGAGGGTGATACAGGCCCCCAGTGTGGGAATCTTCACAGGGCCAGAAGGATGCCAAATAGCAGTAAGATTACTCCCTTGAACTTAGAGGAACGAGCTCTTATACCAAGGGAGTTAGATTGTAGTTTTTCTGAAATAAACAAAGATGTTAGGCATGCTTTTAATCTGTTGTGGAAAATGAAAAGATATCCACATTTTTTCCATCAACTCTTCCTAGGAATTTAAAAAATAAAAAAACCCCCAACATTAACAACACGAGCAGAAAATTAGAAAATACTTAGCTCAGTGTCAGCCAGTCCTAGGCAAAGCAATTAATTTGACACCTCTGGTGCTGAATACTGTAATTGCATTCCCGTAAGGCTGTTGCACACCTCCACAACGAACAACCATACTGCTAGCATGGTGGTACGTTACAGAAATGCCAGTGGACACTGAAGTCTGTGCGGTTCTGCCCATGTATTACTTGAGAATGAATTAATTGTTTTCTTACAAGTTACAAAGTGGGTGCAGTTATTCACTGGATTTTGAGTAGGTATTTCAAAATCATGCTTGATAGTCAGGAAGAACAAGTATTTCAATGCAAACCTATCACCTTTGTAGTAAGTGTGTAAAATCTGTTTTAAGATATGACTTGTTTTGGCTTCATGTAAAGCTGATGTGGGATACAGGTTTAAAGTATCTAACTATGTTTTCTTCCTTTTAGATTGTGTTTTTGGAACAGACTGATCAGCAAGAGCAACTGGCTAAGAAGTGGGGGTTCAAAACATCTGACATAAGAGAACTGAGTAACCAGTATGTGTTTTGTTTAGATTAATTTCAGCAAATGCAGTTTATACTCTGGGTGAAGTAATGCGAGTCTCTGTGAATACATTTTGGCAGGGAGCACATTAAATCCAATCTCATGGGCAAAACTCCCTTTCAGCTCTGTGAGAGCTCTTAACCCAAGAGCTGCCTGCATCCTGAATGGGACTTGGAGGGTGGACAGTCTGTGTGCTTTTTGCATTTCTTGGTTTGGGACTGCAGCCATGGCTTAATTGTGCTGGCTGATTTACACTGCACAGAACAAAAAGCCATATTTACCTTTCATACGTGACCTCTTCTGTGCTTACAGAAGTAAACGATGTTCTTTCTTGAGATTACATTTTATTTCCGTTTTGTTAGCAGCAGGCAGTGCCTAACTAGCTCGAAACTCTAGACTTAGTAAATGTAGATATCACTAACACTACAGATATAAAACTCAATTATTTGGACACTCCCTAATAAAAACTAATAAAATTAGAAGATTTAAACCTTCTAAACACAGAGCCTTGGATTTCTAACTGTTTTGCAGCTAAAGCGTTTCTTTTTATTTCAGCCAGTGAAATCCACCACCTTTCTGGTGAAGTGGAATAATTTGGGATTGCACCTACTATGTTTTGCATGTAGTAGCACAACTGTAAACGACCTGTGGCTTAGAATCTTGAGCTGCTGCGTCATTTTAGTGTTCAGTTGTTAAAAAATCTGTATGCTTTGTTGGAAGGCTAATCATACAGAATATATGAGTCATCAGATGTTTTCTTCACTTGAAATAGCCTGAGGAAAATGGAAAGGGCTGGGAATATGGATCAGATTGAGAAAGATCTTTCAGCATTTCTAGCATGCAGGAAAACAGGAAGAAGGGGAGCTACAAAGAGACGAAATCAGTGTTCATTCAGTAGTCAGGGAGATGGGAAAGAGGAGTGAGAGAAATTTTATACTGTATGGAGTTCCAGCACAAAACAGAATAATTATAGCAATTTCCTGGTAATGTTGATATGTTCATCCCTGTTATTGCATGAACACTGCATGACAACAAACAATATTACAGTTCCATTGTAAATATGCCTTTCCTGTCAAGATACTGAGCAGAGATTTTTTTCACCAGTGTCTGTGTCTGCATTTGTAGACACAGTGGCTGTTCTTCCATTAAAACTTGAAATTCATTGATTGTATATAGAGAGAGACACACATATGTAATGTAGAGGAAAACTGGGATACAGAAAGTTACAGTTTTGTAAATATAATCGTCTGGCAGCTAGAGACATTCTAAATATATCCATACTAGGAAGCAAGACTGTGCTCAAATCTTCTCTTTCTCAGGTGGATTCTATGGTGGAGTAATTTTAGTTATTGTGAAGTCAGTTTGGCTTTATTTGTTGGTATTTAGTCTGGATAAATATTAAAGAGAATGGAATTCATCGTGCTTTTACATTGTTTTTCTCTGTGTTAGCTATATATAAGTCTGTGTAAAAGTTACTATTCAACTGCCTGATACTGTAAAAGGAGTATGGGTAGACGTACACTAGGAGTTGATAGGCTGATGCTGAAAGAGGAAGGTTAATCTGTACTTGCCATTTGCTCTGGTGGATTTTGGTCAAACATACTGTTTAAAGCAAAACTACTTACCGTGGAAAATTTTGTGACATTTTGGACTATTATAATTTTCTTTTCTTTCCCTAGTGAATTCTTCATGCCAGGAATGGTTGATACACACATTCATGCCCCTCAGTATTCCTTTACTGGTACAAGAGTAGATCTACCTCTTTTGGAGTGGTTGACTACCTACACATACCCAACAGAAGCCAAATACAAAGACAGTGATTTTGCAGAAGAAGTGTATACCAGAGTTGTCGTAAGTACTGCAAATGCCATTTACCTACTTGATGACATTCCTATTTGTGAAATATATGTGTGTTTTCAGAAGGTCAGTAGAAATAGTAGAGAATGTTTTAATGTCATGAAAACCAGATAAAACCAACAGTATAGCCACTGTTGTAATTGCCAGCCAAGATTGTCCCCTCCTAGTTCCAGTCTTGTTCTGTTGTTGCTGATAAGACAGTTCATTTAATCACATGGTTAACAACAAACTTGTTTATCATCTTTTCTGATATCTGAGTACAATGACCAACGTTTAAGAGTAGTCTCAGAGCTAGTATAGCCAGCAGGTGCCGACAACTTCAATGCAGAGATAATCAAGCATGGTAAAAAAAACTTCAGAGGATATTTCCTTTTCTGCACAAAAAGCCTCTATTATGAAATTGTCTTCTGCAAAGACTACATGAAAGAGAAGATGCTTATCACAGACAACAAATTTGGGGTGTTTTGGAGTAATTAAGGAAGGCATTTCTACAGCTGAGGTCCTTGTAGCAGGAATATCTTTCACTGCAGGGGCTTTAGATAAAGTCTGTCAATGGTATTGTGGCACAAAGAGAGAGACTGTGTTTGACCTAGACTGGTCCTGAGCAAATATGAAGGCTTTAAGGTCAAATTCCACTTGATGAACAATAAACAGCTAGGTCACATTGCAGAGTACTGATTCTGTCCTGTAACTGAATTGTATCCTTTAATACGTGGACTGAAATACCTTCAATAGATTAAATCATTTGGCCAGCGTAAGTTGCCTTGCATTTGTCTAATACTGTGAGAACATGTGTTGTCAAAATAATAACATAATGAATCTGAAATAAATAGTTATACTGTCCTTGCCACACAAATTTAAAAAAAAATTACTTTCTACCATCTGCCATAATAAAAACACCTAGGAGCAGCTTGGTCCTAAACTCTAGTGACAAGCACACGTGCCTTCAGCTACTTAAAACATAGAGGTGATCTCACCTCCCAGCTGTGTGCCTCAACATACTGCTACTGTCTCCATCAGTTCAGATTGAGTGACACCAGCACAGCTAAAGTGCTCACTGTGCAAGGTGTTTAATAACATCACCTGGAAAAGAACTGCCAGTGAGAGATGGAAGTTAATTGTAGGAGCTTCAACACAATGGTTAGGCTCTCCCCGTGTGTATCAAACAGGACGAGGTCAGGAAAATGTCTTCACCCCCAAATGCTGCAGAATACCAGTTGCTCTGCAATGTTTGATGGGGCTGATAATAACCTTCAACTGTTAGAAACAGGACTAAACCTGCAGGGACCAGATATTGTTTCATATGTATCTTTGTACTTTTGGAGTTGTAATGAAAACATAGTGAATTTTTTCAAACCAAAATTCTGTTTCCAATAAACACATTATATACTTGGTAAAAGAAACAAATTAGGTGAAATTTGCCAGATTTTAGCTGGAACCTCCTCTGGTCCCTCAAATTTTAGGAAAGCCAATTCTTCATGCTGATGTTTTGGAAACAGAATGTTTTTAGATTTCATTTAACAATGATGTTAGGAATCCAGAAGTAGAGAATTCTGGATTTTAAAGGCTAAGAAAGACAAAGGTAGTTTGTCTCACTAATGACATTGTTATTTTTGAGACTCATTTTTAGGAACCCCTAAAGATGTATTTTTAATTATTTGCTTTAATTTGAATATTGTATGGAAAAGACAGAGCTTGGCTTCATGTTTTTCAAATAATTAGGTTTAGCCATTCTCAAAAGTTGCATTGGATGTCCCACCTTCTATCTCATTAAAAAAATAAAATAAAATTCTCAAATTACATCGTAGCCAGAATCCAAACATGTAATTTAAACCTGTATGTTGGATGGGTAGTCAATATAGTATGCATTAGTCCCAAGATCAAGTGAAGCTATAAATTTCATCATGACTTAATTTAACTTTAAATGGCTCTTCATGTACTCTTGTGTCCCCCAAAAGTAATATGAACAGGTATCAACCACCCTCTCCTTTCAAAAAAATAATTAAAGTACACCCTGAGCAGTTGTTCTCAGTTTACTTTTACCTTGAAGTTTGTTACTTTGTATTCAGAGATAACCTGGCTATTTTTCCCAGCCCCATCAGGTGGACAAATGAAACACCATTTTTCCCCAAAGCCTTGCTTTGCTAACGTTAGGTAAACAGTGCTTCACTGTGAAAGTTGGAGAGCCTTTCAAAACTAGGAAATAACATAAATGACTGGTTGTATTTCTAAATATGTCAGAATTTATTTCCAGTTTGAGTGAAGGAAATATCGACTGGTTTCTATGGGTTTAGCCATAGTTAAAATCCTGTATGGATTTGGAAGAAGTATTTTTGTATTTATTAACACTCAGACTTAAAAAAGCTTTTATGAAATTAAAAATCTATATTTTATCTTCCCACTTCACTGCACAATTTCACGATAACTAAATGTTCTCACAGTTTGAAATCAGACTGCTTGTTCTGCATTTTGGCAGCTTGACTGTTTTTTCTCCAGACAGTTGAAACTGATTTCTTTTTATAGAGACGAACTCTAAAGAATGGCACGACTACAGCTTGCTACTTTGCAACAATTTACACAGATACTTCTCTTCTACTTGCTGAAATTATAGGTAAGATTAACAGTGAGTTTTGAAGGATGTTGTGCAAACTGTGTTAGTCAAAGGAAACAGAGCTTAGGAGTTTTAGACTAGCTAGGGATCTGTCTTTCTACTAATTTGTTTTTTATTCATTGTATCTGTCATGCTGTGTCCCCAAAATCCACCCTAGTTACCCTTGTTCACTTAACCGCCTCTCTCTTACTGTTGTTTCTGCTAGTCTCTTCATTTCCAAATCAGCTGCTGGCTGACCTTGAATTAGGTCTGCTGGAATTTCTCTTCAGCTGCTCTGCTCTTTCTAGCCTTTTCCTATTTGAGGATTAAAGGGCTGAATGACAAGAGGTGCAGTCAGTGCAGTAATTTCCTAATACTCTGAAGTTTCAGTTGAGAATCAACATCAAAAATCTTCACACACCCTATGAAACCAGAACAACGGGATTTGCGTTAGGATCTTACCCATCCCTTCTGGTCATTGTTGCAAATGCCTCCTGAGTGAAAGTGGTGTAATTCTTGCAGGATTTCTCAAGGCTCAGCCAGCTCCCAAAGCAGAGCAATTTAATGAGATCTCAGTTTCCATGAAAAATTCCCTAGTCTTTCTGATTTTGTAGGAAAACTAAAACTTTGAAGCCGTTGTATTCAACAACTCAGTAAAAGTGGACAAAAGAGATCTAATTTAGAAACATATTTAAAAGCTTAGAATTTAATATTATATGCATTCCTTTTAAGTCTTACACTTGAGTTCTGATAAATCTCAAGAAAGAGGCTAGAAGTAGCTGTGGTAATTTTCTCCATCCAGCTGCATGTGGGAGGCATGTTAGGAACCTCATTCCTTTCTCTTAAGGAGAGATGGTTTGCTGAGATCTTTGTGCCTTTTCTCAGCTCAGGGTAATCATCTACTACAGCTACTGTACTTCTATGCTTGTGTTTCTCATCCTCTACTTCACAGCGGTCTTCATCATATACTACCATTATGAATTCTGGTTGTGATTAAACTACAATAATCTAGTCTTCAATGTATAAAGTTGGGTACTAATATGGAAGAGGAAAACTCCTATTTAAATGTGGGGTTTTTTTTCTCTTTCCTTAAAAGTCACATGGATGGTCCCAACTTAAAGATAAGAAAAGAGCATAAATTCTGTTCATCTTAAATGAAGCTGGCTGGGGTGGAATTTGCTATTTTGATTTCAGTACAGGCTTTGATAGCAGTTTTTGAGAACCAGTGATTCTGAGTTTTATATTCTTGTGCATCTCAACAGATAAATTTGGTCAACGAGCATTTGTTGGAAAAGTCTGCATGGATATGAATGACAGTGTGCCACAATACAAAGAGAATACTGCTGACTCTGTGCAAGAGACAGAAAGGTAAAGTGATTAAATTGATGGCACAACCTTCAGAAATAAGACTTTTTCATACATCTGAAAAGTGAATGTGAAGCTGACTAAGAACTTACAAGTGTAAATTTATTAGGAACAGTTTTTTTCTTCCAACAGTATGGTTTCCTACAGTTCTAGCAATTCCTGCATACCCAGTTGCTGCACAGCCCAAGTGGTTTCTCTCTAGCTCTTCCAAAGAACGGGAGAAGCTACAGCTCTGGAGTTTGGAGAGAATACGTGTATGTTGTTGTCTGTTTTCTGCCTCCTCTTTTCCCTTCACAGCTCTGTGTGTGGAGGTGATGTGACCTGACATGGGATAGTGGGGTGGCAATCAGTTCCTTCGCCTCCGTGAACTTCTGAGCTATTTCCTTCCCCCATTTAGGATAAAGCTTTATTCAAGTTGTAGGAGTCAGCTTTCATGTACACAATTTTAAATATGCTGTGGTTCTCCTCTCCTCCAGCATAGCACCAGTGAAATTACTCTAACTTGCAGCTGAGAGAATGAAGGAGAATCAAATCAAGGCAACGTACATGGCAGAGGGGACCCAAGACTGGAGTATGGCAGCCTGCTGTCTTAGGTTTCCCTTGTCTTTCCCATCCATGCTCAGAAAATGCTTAAGCAGACATACAGCTTTTCTCACGGGGCCATTTCTTTACTTGTAGAAATATTTCAAATATCATGCTGAAAGAGAAAATGCCTAACAGTAATATAAACATCTTATGGCACTTGTGCAAAGTTGCTACCTTATTTTTGCAAATCATGCTAGTAGAATGTCAGTAAAAGTTAGAAATGGTAATGGATTTCTAATGGTGTTTATATTTAAAGACATTTTTAAAACATGTAGTATTAGTCATTTGCACTCTACTAACATTTGTTTTCCTTCACATAAATCCCCAGTTTTCTTAATACAGCGTTAGTCCTGCTGAATGGGCCTGAAAGTGGCAGAAATTCCAGTTCTGATATTTTTTTAAAGCTTCAGAATGATCTAAATAGCTTTCTTTTAAATACTTATCTTGTGCCTCCAACTCCCTTCTCATGTGATTGTGTTAATAACAAAGCTGTTTCTCAGCTTTGGATGAGAGTGTGCCACAAGTACTCCAGAGCTGTCTAGAGATCGCTGTGTGCTTGGCAGCATGGATCAGGAGTACTTACCTCATCAGGCCTGAATTGCAGCAATACAATTGCAGAAGGATGAAAAAGCTCTTCGCTTAAGAGGGCAACCTTTTTATTTTTTTTTAAAGAACCTAAGAAATGTGATCTGTCACACTGTCTGAAAATGTATTACACTGATTTCAGTTCTTTACAGTTAACCTGTGGAAATATTTATATTGTATGCATGGAAATAACATACAATTCCAAGTGCTTCATGTATTAAATTGAAATTCAAGTCAAGAATTTGAATCTACCCTTCTGCAAAGAGGGTTGAATAAAAAGGGAACCGAAATCTAGGATACGTTATATGCTACTAATAGTTGTAGCCATCCGGAAAGAGGAGGGCCCGTGTTGAAATCTGTTCTTCTGCTACAGAAGACAGTGGTTTGAACCTGAGCTTCTTTCCTCATAGAGAAGTACATAAGCCAACAAAGTATAGGGTATTTTGAGAAAGGTATTTCAGTTTTGAAACAATGCTGACGCTGTTCAAAGAATGTGAAAAAGAATGAAAAGAGCCATGTGGAGGTTTTGGATTATCACCTGAGAGTTATACTTGTGTTACAGTTCCTGCTCCAGTGAATATTTTATTATTCTATCGGGTGAATCAGTAAGAGGAGAGACAGACAGACGATACCTAATTCACACTGCATTTTGGCTCTCAAAGTTAGACAACGGTGGGCTCAAACTCCTTTGGTCATTGCAGAAGTTTAGCTTAGGTCTCTCACTTCCAGCTGGTGATCTAGCACCAGCTTCAGTGTTCTGAATCTAGCCTCCAGCGTTATTTTCTTTTCCACCTGAAGATATTTGACAAATTTGATTCAATGGTTTTTGTGACCAAAATTACGGGTTTTTCTGAATATGAACTATGACATAAAAATTCACAGAGATCCTGTCCAGAACCCATCTCAAACTGGCTTTTGGAAACTATTTACATACACTGTGCATACGAGTTTTCAAAGAATTTATTCCTTGCAAAGTCAGAGGAAGTTTTATTTGCTCGTCTGCATTATCCATATTGACTGCTTGGGTTTTTTTGTAGAGGTCCTTGAGGTAGCTTCTTTTATTTAACAAAGTAAGTAAATCTATACTGTATTTTCCATAAGGTAGATAATCTATATGCTAACTTTAATATAAGCATTTCCAGAAAATCAAGAGTCCTTTAAGTGAATGAGGACATATACAACTACTGTAGGTGAGGTATGAAATATTGCAGCATCTTTTAAAAATTGGATTTAAAATAATACAATATATTTAATGCTGTAGTTTAAATTCACGGACAGACAAATTTAAGTGGTTTTTTTTTTTCTAATGTTGCATCTGTAGCTTATAATTATGTTTTCAATTAATTTAATGTAACATGGATTTGGTTTTCAGTGAGAACTCAGAGTAATTACCATTATCTAATGTTAATTATTGCAAATGAAAAAAATCCGGCATATTCAGGGTCAAATTCACAACTAGCATAATTTTGTGTAACTATCCTGACTTCATTGTGTTGCTTCTTTTTATTTCATCTGAGAATCTGGCCCAACTTTCTGTAAAAATTGATCTATGTGTGAAATGCTTAATAGGGTATCTAAGTAAATATTTTCTATAATTTTTGTAATTTGTAACACAGATGACAGATTTATAACAGATTTTTTTCTACCCTTTTTCAGGTTTGTTAAAGAACTACTGGAAAAGAAAGTAAGTAGAGTTCTCCTTTGGATTCATTTCTGTATTCAGGAGATGCTGTGTGAATATATGAAATAGTTAATCCCGCTGACAAACTCTGTTGGCTTAGTGACAAATCAATAAATATACATCTTTCTGTGTAGAAGACAGGTATCTGTCTGAAAAATGTTCTGCCAGCCTTGTTGTTGAGAAATGGACTTGTAGCAGTGTAAATTCAGTTTCATGTGGTCAGAGCACAGCAGAGTAACGTTCTGTGCGTGTTCTCTATTGACTTTAAAATATTTGGCTTCCTAGAAAGGACAATTTTCTGTTAAAGAAGGATGGAAATCAGTCGATCACTCTGTGGTATATAAATAGACTAGTGAAAGAAGTTCTCACCAGCAGAAACCAGTGTTTTCACAGTACAGTTACTAATCCATTACAAAATTAGTATTTTGGGTCAGCACATGTCTTCCAGTGTGTTTCTAAAGAAATTCAGATTTACACTCCTGAGGTAAAGATAGAGGTTTACACTCCAATATTACAAGCAGCAATACTTTTCTTATCAGCCTTTTGTTTTCAATGGCTTAATTTGTTGACATCTGTATCTCAAAATATTCAAGAACAGATGCCTAGAGTTTAATGCCTAAATCATATGTATTAGTAGAGTAAATCGGCTAATCTGCAGAAGTCCTGAGCTCCTTGTATCTGGGAGATGGTATAAGAAACTGCAAACCAAGTTATCATACGCTGTCTTCTAGTGGTGCCACATGCACAACTATTGCCTGTGACTGAAGGCAGAGTTGTAATGCTATTGTCTATTTTTTATGAACATTTTAATCCAGAAGTGCAAGGTGTAAAGTAAACCTCTGTAGCTCTAGTCTTGGTGTCTTCTCCACTGTTTCCTACTGCGTAGCATATCTGGTGCTACCACTAATCCTCCTAGCTAGGGAGTATAGGGACAGTTGCTATCATGAGTGGAGAAGATCGAACAAGAAAAAGGCTTTGGTGTTACAGAACTCTGCAGTTTTGCATCATTACATCTTTGATATTCACAGAAGCGGGACTCAGAAAAACGTCTGGTCATTCATTTGACTAATTTCTCGTAATGCATACTGGACTGTCAGCAAATATGAAAAAGCATCCAGTGCTTCTCCTGAAGTCTGGTAAAATCTTAGTGACTTGATGAAAGAGTTTTAATGAAAATAACTTCTTTACTAAGGTTCATTACAACTGTTTTCAGAAAAAACTTTGATTCTCTATTTCTGTGGTAAAATTTCTAATAAAAATAAGGAAATGACTATACAGCTTAATTTGAGTTGGCAAGGATGCAGTAAGCAATAAGCGACGGAGACAAAATGTAATTGCTGTGTAAATGCTTGTCTTAATTGTGGTTACTGATATATAGATGTAGAATCCCAAGCATGTCTTTTTAATATTTTCAGTACCCAAGGGTACAGCCTGTAATAACCCCTCGCTTTGGCCCTTCCTGCACAGAGGATTTGCTGTGTGCACTTGGCAATTTAGCACAGGCTCGTGATCTCCATGTGCAGGTAAGCTCTGAGAGCTCTGTATACAATTTAAATAGTTTGGATAGATAGCATACAGACCAGGGAGTTTTCATAATTTCAGCAAAATGCTTAAAACATATTCTTACCTTAGAGCCTGTCTTTTAAATTCCTCTGAAATTATTAATGGTACTCCGCAAGAACACTGCGTCCTGCACAGGAATTGAGAAGGCTCGTAGCTGGAAGGATGCACAATTCAGCAAGCCCCAGCGCATGGTCACTAGGAGACGGGCACCCAGTGTCATAGGTTAGAGCAATGCTTGGGCTGCTAAAGGTTGCTGTCCCTAGTCCAAGGTTGTTACATCCATCTCTCTGCCTTCTGCTGTTTCTGTACAGAGCAGATTTCAGTAGGTGAAAGAACTACTCATCTTTGTATCTTATTTAACGTTGTTAACATAGCTGTAGGATTTCCAGTGTGACGAGGTTTCTGTGTTTAAAAAAGACTTATTTTAAAGCTTACAGGTCTGTTGAAACTTCAAGATGTTTCTTTTTTGGTTACACAGTTCTAAGCGTATACTGTTTTAAAGCTATCCTACATTAGGATTTTTTGTCATTACGAAGTGGGCATTTTGAAAATGTATGCTCCAATGGGAGTACAGGAGGATCAGGTTTTTATCTGAGACCAGGAATTAATCAGCCCATCTGAAGATACATGGAGCTGCTACCTATATGTTGCCCTGATCCCAGGGTCCACTCTGTGGTAGGCTGGTTCTCTCTTTTACCTCACAGTCATATGTATTATTTTATTTATTATTTTAGCATTTGCCAAATACCAAGTGGGCGGTTATGTCACCAAACTACTGGGGCGGACTATCCAGGCATACTATCTCATATCACTTTTAAAGGAACAAATGGAGCTAATCTTTTAGGTCCCAGCGACCTCTCTGATGAAAAGAGAAACCCAAGGACTAGATCTAACTATAGGCTTTACAAATACTAGTTTCTATCAGTATATGTTTAGCACCAGTAGGTTGCTCAGAAGGTTGTAATGTCAGGTTTAATGCTATTTAAAGCACTCATTGCTATATATTTTCTTATTGCAGAGTCACATAAGTGAGAATGAAGAAGAACTCAAACTTGTGGAGAACATGTTTCCTGCCTACCAGAATTACACTGAATTGTATGATAAAAACAAGCTGCTTACCAGCAAGGTAGCTGCGTAGAAACTTCCACAGCATAGCTTAGATTTATCCGTGTAGAGAATATGATGGTTAGCTGTAGTTACCTGAAAAGTTTGTATTGTTTTGCCAAGGTCAGTGACATCTGGGGGAGAGTAAATTGGTTTTATGTTCTGTGTTGCACAGGTGTTGGTCAAGGTATTGGAACTTTAGACAAGCCCACACTTTTCCTAAGCATTTTAGGAGAGGTGAACAATAAAGGTATTTTATGCTCCCTGATCCGTTTTCCAAGGGCTCCGTAGAGAGTTGGGGCGGTGGGATCAGAAGGAGACTGGGTAAAGCTGGTATTGTAGCAGCTGGTAATCCTTGGGCAGTACCCAGTTATCCTTATATTACAATGTTCTTGCGCCCTGGTTTTGCCTGAAGATTTGTTCTATGGTGTTATGGTAGGACCAACTTCATTTTTGACAGTTTCCTACAGACAAGCAGCTTGTCCTGTTCTGTTCTGTGAGTGAATCTCACATACAGACAGGTACACTTTACTGTGCCGACTATCCAAAAGCACTCCCATCTCATTAGCTGATTTTACCAAGTATTGAGAGGCACAGCAGCCTGAAGAGTTGAAATTCATTGAAGCTTTGTGCTGGTGAGATAAATGCAAGGAGATCTGATATCAGCCCACACTAAGTACAGGTTGGAGTGCAAGGGCACACCTTATTAGATAGTGGAGAGCCCATGCAAGAGTGAATATGAACAGCCTGACTACAGTCAGAGTGCTTAAACATCAGTCAAATTGGTTTAAAATTTTAGGAGAGAATTTTCAGAGGCACAAAGGGCAGCTGGGAACTCCTTGGGAATTAGCTATTGAACTCCCATTTCTGTCTTAGAAAATGCACCCCAATAAATTACATATTTACAGTCCTTTTTACCTGAGAAATCAATATAGACTACTTAAGAATGTACACAGTATTAACTTTTGTTCTCTCACACAGTCCTATGCACGCTGATTTGTTGTGTCAGTGTACTAAAGAGAATATTACTGCTGCAAAAACATAGGTCTCAATTCTGTCAGACTTTTATATGTCCAGCACTGAAAATGGTCACTGAAAATCAAGGTTACCGGTGCTTTCTGGTGCCAGGCTACTGGTTGGTTGGGGAAGCATTCTATTAAACACAAGCATAACAAAACCGCAGACATTCCCCCCTTCCCAACCACCAAAACTAAGGCACCAAATTAATTTTTTTTTAATGTTTTAAAAGTATGTTTTTCAGAGCTGTGGCTGAGATATTTCCTTCTTTTTAAAAAGAAGTACAGATCAGCAGACATATGGTTCAGCAGCTACCATATGTAGGTCCTTAACTTAAGATGTGGCTATTCTCATTGTATTTTCAGTTACATTTGAGCTTGATGAATAGAGACAGCAAGGGTACAGTGATATTAGGAGATGCTCAGTGGAAACGGTCCCTGTGCTGTTCTCATTTTTATCAGCAGATTGCAAAGCCTAACAGAGCTCTTGCTCTTCTCTTTGAGTGGGCATTTGGCATATGAGGTAATTCTAAGTAGATTTGTCTGGGTTTATGTCCTATTAAATGATACTATCCTATACTTCTATGTTTTGTGTTTGCTGCTTGTGAACTTATTTTTAAAGTCAGCTATGTAGGCCAAGAAAGAAACGTCATTAATCAGTTGCATAACAAATTAGATTATTTTAATTGAAGAACGTTCCACATATATATCTACCTGGTGCAAACATTTAGAGAGACAATGGGAAATGTGCTGAGAGTACATACATCTTCCATTGTATCTGATGTACTCCTAGCCCCAGTACTTAATCTCTGTGTTAGCTACGAAATATAAATCATCAGGTTACTACAGTGCTAGGGCAACTGGGGAATTCTTGCTTTTGTTCCTTGAAGCTCTTACATCACAGCAGTCACTGCAAGAGTCAGCACCCTATCTTCTTACATTAATAAATGAAAAAAAGCTGAGGGAGTGGTATGTCAGGCATACTGAAGTTAATGAGACTTTCTCCCCTGTTGATTTCAAGAGCTTCATTCAAGAAGTGCATTAATTTCCCTTGATGGTAACAGGTAACAGGTGTCCTTTTGGCTGTTAAAAGCAGTGCAGCAAAAATCACAGGCACTGAAGTAAATGCAATGTTGAGTAAATGGACGATTCTGTTTTTCTTTAGACAGTGATGGCTCATGCCTGTTATCTTTCTGAAGAAGAGCTGAAACTTTTTAGTCTTCGTGGAGCTGCAATTTCACATTGCCCCAATTCTAATTTTTCGTAAGTTAAAAAAAGAAAAAAAAAAGAATAAAAAAGAATGCTGTACAATTAAATAAAGCTGCTGTTCACATAGTACCCTGAGTCCAGCCTACTGTTACAAGGCTATGTATATGATACCCCATTCCACCAGAAGTGACATGTTGGATTGAGCATGACCATTCATGCTCCACTTCTGTGTGGTATGCTCTGGACTGACTTGTGATCTTTCAGTATAGTCATATATATATATATATTTCTTTTTTTAAACTTTATTTCTTTTGACTGTTCTATCAGTGGCAGATTCAGGCCATCTCCCTTCCCCCCAAAGTATGCATATGTTTTGGGGAAATGGAAATGGGCTATATAGTCTTCTTTCTATTAAGCAGAAATGAGATACTGTATGGTATCCAGCCAGGATACTGTACTGAATGTTAACACTAATTTTGCCTTTAACATAATCACTATCTTGTTTGTGATGACTTACTGGAGCTCATGAAATGACTTCCCATCTCCTGGAATATACTTTACATCCTATTTGGATTTTTTCACAGGTATATCTGTTTTCAGCAGATAACTATAAAACCATGGGAGTTTTTAACTGAGAAAAACTGCCTTCATTTTTACTGATTAAACCCCATGTTTCAGGTGTATGAATGCAAATGCTCCATCCCAGTTTAATAAACCCAATCTATTGAACATGTTCTGAGAGCCTTTGTCATGAAACAGCTCTGTAGCCCTACTCTTCCTGAACTTTCTCTGTCTGTATCACACAGAACACGTTTCTTCTTCCAATCCAGGTTGCGCAGCGGTGTCTTAAATGTGCAAAAGGTCCTGAAACACAACGTGAAGCTTGGCCTTGGCACAGGTTAGTAATTCGCTGTAAAAACGGTTTCTTTTGGAAACCGTTGGGAGATTCAAAAACATGCCTACTTGTTTGTATTTAAAAGTCAGCATGTCTCCAACTTACGGACCTGCTTTTTTTTTCCCACTACTTCTAGAGTAATGAAGTCTAGAGTACTGAAATCTAGAGCTGGTCCAAAAGTGTTTAAAAAGAAAACCAAAAATGAATGAAGAAAGTTCTGTTCCTGTCGTGAGAGTAAACAGGGCTTGAACAACAACTTTTCAGGTTTCTGTTATTCTGTGTTGTGTCCTATTTACTTGACTTTGTATGTGAGAGCACCTTTATTAGGAATTACACATTCAGAGACAGTGCTTAGCAGTAAAACTTTTTGTGTTTACCACATCTGCCACTTCGTAATATTTAATTAAAGCTCATAGAAATTTAACCCAGAGGATTATTCCCAGAGCTTGTTTCTAAGAGTCTGATCCCTTCTAGATGTTGCCGGTGGATATTCAGCCTCTATGCTTGATGCCATCAGAAAAACAATGATAGCATCTAATAGCCTTCAGATCAATAAAATGAATGAAACAGGACTAAGACTTGAAGATGCTTTTCAACTAGCCACTCTAGGAGGAAGCCAAGGTAAGAAATTTCTTTAGGATGTACACAGAGAACTACAGCTGTTTTTGAAATTATGTCTCCCTTGCCTTTACAAGGTGGCTGAATTCACAGATTTTCTGGTGCCAGAGTGAGGTCTAAAATGGTATCTGCTGGACAGAGATATCCTTCAGTCTCTCATACCCATACTAGGCTCATTACAGAAGAGTATTCATATGGATGTTTAATAATAGAAACTTAATGATTTTTCAGGGTTGTACATTTTCTTTGCAAAGATCCTCAGGCTTCTTAATCATTAGTGCTTGTACGTTTATGACACTAATTGGAAAGACTGTTTTCTCAGCAACCAACACTTAGAGGAAAAGCTGTGCAATTACTATAAAATCAAGCATCCTGTTTGTCATCAGTTTCTAATTTTGTTTGTGCTTTTTGAGCTCTCAGTGAGGCAGTTTGTCACTGTATTTCCAGCAAATCAAAACATCATGCAAGTCACTCCTCAGTCAGAGAAAAGCACAAAGTTTAAACAGGATATGCACCATGGTTTTTTAAGACGCAGTTGCATCTGCAGAATGTAGTCATATAGTGTATTGGTTATCCTGGTTCACTGGCATGTTTTTCATGATCAGTGTGCACATACTGATTCATACAATTAGCAAAGTTTTAGCAGAACTTGTATGATTTAGCAGAGAGCAAATCCATACATAAGTAAAAATTTATTACTATTTCAGTTAGCAGAGATGAGCTCGCTGCCTGCTAAAGAACTGGTCCCAAGTCTTTTCAGTGTAACATTTTTGTAGTTGTCAAAAAACACCATTGGGAACTATTAATGGAAGTTTGAAAGATGTAATGAAAATGTCATCAAACAGGTCTTCTCAGGACTGTACTTGAATTTCCGGAGGGTGTAATGGGGAAATAGAGAAGACAGAAGATGGGCAGGGGACAAAAAAGGGGAGATCTTTTTCCTACAATATATATTGTTCTCACAAAAGGTGAGAATAAATTAGCTGAGATACGGAAAGGAAAACTTATCCCAAACTCATACGTGGTTTCCCTTCCCAGCTACTCTTGCACTTGTTTTATCTGGGTTCTTAGGTTTACTTAGTAATATGCTTATTTTATATATTGATTTTGAGCTGTTTTATCCTTACTGAATCACTTTCAAGTGTAGAATATAAATTATTCGTACAACCTTCCAGTAGCCTGGAAGTACAGTACTTGTACTGGACAAGTACAGTTTGCGGAAATTTAAATGAGCAATTCTTTGTTGCAATAATTTGCTTTGCTGAGACTCCTAAACACTTGTCACCCTCTTGTGTTTCATCTAAAAATTGCATTCTGCTCACAAACCTGAAGGAATATGAGATAATTTTAGTTGAAACTGGTAGGTAGCCAAAATATTTCACCATTTGAAGGAGTTTAAACATCTTTAAGGTATTGTGAAGTTCCTGCCACACACAAACTTCACTGAAGGCTGAAGTTCCTTTGTCAGACAAGAACAATCTGAAAACAAGTGAACAGATTATTTGCAGATATTATCCCCTTTGATAACTTAGTTTAACTCCAGAGTATTGGAAAAGTTGATTTAATACACAGATACTTTGTACAACTTCAAACTATCCTAAATCATTTCCAAGGAGACAGAAAGGCCTCTCTTTAGGTATTCTAAGCACTTGCAAGCACCCAGTTGCTGAAGAGGAAACTGTAGATTTTCAGTGCTTGTGGACCTGAGAACAAGAGGTTGTAATGAAGCTTTGAAATAACAAAGCTAAATAATAGACCACAAGACAAGCCTTACAGGTAGGTATGAGACCTTCAGATCTGGCTACGATTTTTTTTCCACACCATATTGTTCTTTGTTCCTTCTAATTACCCTTAGTTATCCTCTCTGCACACCTCTTTTATTGTCAAATTATTATATGTTACTATTGTAATAGGTCTATACAACCTGTCAAAGTTGCTTAAACTGTTTAAACAATTAAATTGAATACTGCCTTAGCAAGGTGAGTATTATTATATACTTTACTGTTTCTCTGACTTCATTTCATTGCCCCTTTTGGTCCTTTAACATTTTTGCAATGTAAAAAATTGTTATTCCACTTTAAACAGTTAGTGGCCTATGCATCAGATCTGCAGTGACACAAAATCAATGGAGAACATTCGAAGAATGAAAATCAGAAGAGAGGTTCAAATAGTTTTTCAGGTTTCTTTTACCCTTAACAGACGCCCTTCAGAAATTCATCAAAATATACATGTTTTTACTGAGGAGTTGCTGAAGAACGCAGATGCTAACATACTCACTGTTGAATTTGCTTTCATGTCTTTCCTTGCAATCATCTAAAGTCTCATAGGTTTTCTTATGAACTTCTCAAGTAAGTTGCCAGGTGCTTCCACATGGTGGAAGGAGGCTTGCCTTGAAGATCTGTTTGTGAGCTTATTTTCTTCCTCAGCTCTAGGACTAGACGACGTGATTGGAAACTTTGAGGTCGGCAAAGAATTTGATGCGCTGTTAATCAACACAAAGGCTTCAGACAGCCCTTTTGACTTGTTCTCTGCTGATAATTTTGAGGTAATCGGAACAAGATTAATGATCCAAAAAATTACTGGAAATGATGTGGGGAGGGTCCATGATACAGCCAGAATAAGTCTTTTGAGAGTTATTCCAGTAACAGGAATCGGGTGTACTACACCACTGCTGTCTGTGTTTCAGCCCAAGAGGTTCAGAGGTTGTTTCTTTTTAGAATCTTGCTGTCCTCAGTGACAGTCCCATATCCCCATGAGCAAAAACGCATGTAACATTTTTTAATGCATGTTGTATTAGCCCAAGCTGACAATTAGAGTTAGCTATTTGCAGTGACAAATGGCAGCCAAGAAAAAGCAATTTAGTTCTAGTTAACACTTTGAGGTCAAACTCAAAAATGGCAACCTGTTCCCAGATAAAGGCTAGGTTGCCTTGACTGCACTGCTATTGTAAATTTAAGCAAGAAGTCAAGATGGCTAATTTGAGTTGAAAGCACATTTTTTATGCAAACATATAAGCAGTATTGGCATTATGCAATGGGCATAACCTTCTCATACAAAAACCTTTTATGATTAAAAAAGGTGACGAACGACAGACAGTTACTTGAATTTACTGATGTGGCCAGACTGTCTATCGCCGTCTCTATTCTGAATGTCACCATTTACTTAGAAATGCGGGCATAAGTGGTGAGGTAATTGTTCCTTAATCTGTTTCAGCCACAATAATCTGGATTAGATTAATTTCTTTAAGTTTTAAATCTTCTTCCAAATTCAAATAATTCTGTAAAAAAAATATTTTCCAGTTTAAGTCTAAACCTTTTTAGCTAAGTGGGCAGTTCTTAGGACTTTAAAAATGCTTACAATTTTGTCTTATTTTTCAATAAGTAAATAAAGTTGAGAACTCTAAAAAAGAGGAAGGGAAGCGTTGTGTTTTAGGCATATATTTGTTTATACTGTCAAACTTGTGCAGTTCAAATAATTCTGGAAAAAAAATATTTTCCAGTTTAAGTCTAAACCTTTTTAGCTAAGTGGGCAGTTCTTAGGACTTTAAAAATGCTTACAATTTTGTCTTATTTTTCAATAAGTAAATAAAGTTGAGAACTCTAAAAAAGAGGAAGGGAAGCGTTGTGTTTTAGGCATATATTTGTTTATACTGTCAAACTTGTGCAGTGTTTTATTCCTAAGACATACAGCCTCCTTACTAAAAGTTCTTTATGAGAAAACATGCAAATTAAGTTTTGATTTTACTGTTAGTAGGAATATTTGGGAAAACAATTTTTATCAATGCTTTCAAGCTTCAAATAATTATGATCTGCGTGGCAGATACTGTTTTCTGAATTTGCTTTTCTCCCATTTTTTTATATGACATTCTCCAGAAGTTCCTGTATCCAAGGAAGGTCTGATTCTCAGCCCACATAAAATTCTCTTGTTGTTTCATACATCAAAAATTGCCTAAATTAACGTGGAGGTTAATAATAAATGTATTTATACATAATTAATTATATGTTTGTTTACAGTAATTAGATATATTTGTTTACATTTTATATAAACATTAATATGTCACTATTAATATTAACATTTATTTAAATTAATTAAATATACATTTACTTACATTTATTAATATTTATTTATAAATGCTGAGCAAGAATTAAGTGGCTTAACTTTTATTCTTTGGGACATAGTTAAATGGTCAGTTTAACATGATCAGATGCACCAAGTTTGTCAGATTTATTACCGCACCTCTTTTTATCTACAGTATGAGCTAAATCATATTTCACAGTAAAGTAACACTGACGTGCTAATCACCAGTTCAGAACCAGTTCAGCTCAGAAGGACTTCTGCAGACCAGTTGCCACTGTGGTTTCTTTACTCCCAAACAAAAAAGATGGCCTTTAAAACAAACAATACCCAGCCCAAAGAATCCCACCCCCCTAAGGGAATAGGTATTCTTTATACGGCATTGCCTGGACCAAGAGGTGCGCTGCCCGTTATGTTGTCACGTAGAGGTAACCGGTGTTAGCTCTGGCCACATTTGTATCATTCTCTAATTAGGCTTTTGCCTTTTTGAGAAGCTGGCTGAGGCAAACCAGCTTTGCTGCTGCCTGGTACCTGAGTTAGTTCAGATACTGTGCAACAGTGTGTTTTTCTGTACAGATGTATAATATTTTCATGGTTTGAATCTACTAAATATATACAAACCCCATGACACCATTGCAGCAGCTGAATGCTATGTTTATTTCTTCAAAAAAACCATGGGTTCTTTAAACATCCATTGACCTTTGTGGTAGCCCTGACTATTTCTCTCCAAAGAAACTTTCTCAGTCCTAGGAAACAGTCACTGCAAACGATGTATTTCAAAATTGAATTTGTGGATTGCATAATTTTCATTAATTAAAATGAGTGCATAGATTTATGTGCAAATCTCTGTTTTGACCATGTTATTTCAGGTGATGATCGGAATATTTCAGAAGTGTATGTGGCTGGAAAGCAAGTGGTTCCTTTTTCAAGTTCAGTATAAATCCATTTCCCTTTTGCAAACTACTCTGCTGATCATTCTGCATCTGATTTGGAAAAGACTGATTAAACACAGTACCTGATCATCAGGAATGACACCTCATTTTTGTTTAATGTTTTAAAACTTGCAAACATTAGAAATCTTGTTAGAACTTTCAAGAATTACTTTACCAAAATTGTCACAGTTCTAGAGGAAACGGATATTTAAATTTCTCTGGAAAAATAGCATGTGTGCATTGGTAAGGGATGTGGTAAATACCTTAATTAAAGAGGACACCTGCTGTTCCTTTTAATAATAGTGTAGGAGGCATTACGAAGAGCAATGAGACTCTCATTGTCTATAATGCATCTGAATTTAAAAAAAGCCAGTGCTAGTAAATTGATTTTGCAGATAATGAATATCACGGAAGAATGCAATTTTCATAATATTGTCACCAAGTATGGAAAAATCAGTGACATTTTGGGGCATTTAGAGCATTTTTCAGTTTTCTTCAGGAGCTTATTTTTTTTAAAGTAATTATTTCATTTAAAACATTATTTTTTTAAGAGAAATTAGATAAGAAGCGTGTATTTATAAATAAATAAGGGTCCTTATTATGAAAGAGTTGAGATTTGTCATTCGTAGTCAGGCAGAAGAGAACTGGTGGAAGAACCAAATAAGAAATGGGGCATTAGTCACAGGGAGACGGGCTGGGAGCGCGGAAGGGCTGCATTGTTCTGTGATGCTGTCAGCTGAAACTGCATTTCCGCAGATTTTGTTCCGAAGTCTAGAAATGGTCAGCCTGATCTTCCACCCACTCCACTGAGTTACCTTCAGCTGAGCGACAGCTGAATGAAACTCGTGTTAAACTAGAAGCTGGCACGAAGCTGTCTGAGCAGGCTACTCGGTGGCAGAGAAGTGAAGAGGTTTTTCTGGACTAGAGGGAGTGCTTCGTCTAGTTCAGCCTCCTGCATAACCTTCCCAAGCTCATTTGCTCCTGACTGTTCAGACAGGATGATACGATGTCCCTTCTCCTTTCTGTAAGGGAAGTGAGTGGGTTTAAAAAAAATCCAAGAGAAATGGGCTATTTCTGGCCATTACCACCTTTGACTTGAGGTGGAAATCATCACTGGAAAAAGCAGCTCAGCTTTAACGTGCTCTTTTGTGTCTTTCAATGTGGCAACCATAATGCCAGCCCTGTACAATTCCAGGTAAAATATGTGCCCTTTTTGTTTCAGAAATCTGTGCAACTTCCTTTCTTAAAAAGTGTATTTCCCTACTTTATTTTTTGGGGGGAGGGGGGATTAGTTTGAGGAGGGGGTTGCTTCTTGTTTCTTGATTATGTTTTTGCAATGCAAAGGGTGTAAGCTTTAATTTCAGTATCAATAGAGACAATATTGTATTGAGTTACTGTAAACGTGTTGAATATGATTTTAAGGCCTGCTTCAAACTCCTTTGATTTCACTAAGCTTTGTTTCAGACTTTTATCTTACTGCCTGGCGATGTAAAGGCACAGGACTTCCCTCAGTTCACGAAACAAGGGGGATCACTGCACCAAAGTCTCACTTCATGTCTACTGAGAGCCTGCTTGGCCCAACGTCACTGATAAATTTCTGATTTTAAAAGCATTTTCAGAGCTTATGTACCATTAAGGTCAGGCCTACATGAGACAGTAGAGCGTCAAGCGGAAGTGTAAAAGCTAGCTTGGGCACTTAAAACGTTACAGTCTTTTCAGTGTGTTTTTTTTGCCGAAGCGGAGTAGCCCTACTGAGCAGCAGGGGGTATTGGCTTGCAGACACCACCCGAGTGCAGCTACACGGCTTGCTCATTGAGAGCTAGCTCGGGTATCTTCACAGGGCACTCCGTGTGCTTGCAGAGGTGCAGCCTTCGTATCCATTATGTTCAATGATTCCTAAGGCTTTAGGAGTCAAGATTTAAGGATTAAGATTTTCACGTTCCGTCAGGGTGTTTTCTTAATCGTTTTTGTTTTTCATGTGTCCCAATCACCTACGCAGTAGCACGCATGCTTGGCAAATACAGTCTTCAGCTCTTTAACTTGGTTTCCTGATTCAGGGAGCATTTTTCCTCATGAATTTTGACATGAATTTAATTGACCAAATTTCACATTCCAAAACCAAAGATCTGTAAGACACATGTTTTAATCCTCCCAGTTACTGTTTGAAACTATTTTTAGGGAGTTGCATGGTTTTCAGCTTTGGCTTTCCTGCAAGAATGTTTCCTGGGGCGGAGAGAGATTACACAGCCTTATGTGCAATGTATGTTTGTGCCCTACTTCTTTGCTTCCAGAGCTGTGAATTAAATCAATGCTTTTATTTTGGTGGTAGTCTTAACTGTCTCTGACTTCATTGTTTTCCCACTATTTTGTAGTGTTGTTAAGAATGGGATTCAGCATTTCTTCTTAAAAGATTTGTGGGGGAGGAGGGGGTTGCTTATTTGCAAACTGGGAATACAGAAAAACTTTAACAAGTTCAACACTATACTGCTGGCCCAGTTACAAAGGGACTCCCTAGGATAACTGCTGCCAATGAGCTTTGTATCTGAATATTGGCTGCGTCATGGGCAGTTTGATTCGTGTTAAATTCAGACACAAGGTAGGAACTCAGCCTTTTGATTATAGCTTTACTAGTGTCTAGTACCCAGACACCACCCAGACTTAGGACTTAGAAATGGAGAATCAACTTTTTAAGAATCTCAGCTGGAGGAGGAGCTCTGCCTGCAGGTAGTGCTGTGGGCTGCCTGCACCACCCTGCAATGCCCAAGACCGGGAGGAGCGAGGACCAAGATGGATAGCATTACTCTAAATGCTGAGGTGCTTAGGAGTAAAGGAAAGAAGCCTGAACTTGATGTGAGAGGAAGCCAGTGGAGGAACTAATATAACAAGTAAACTGGGAGATACTTTCAACAGCAGCATCTTAAATAGAATTGGATGGAGAAAGACTGTAATGCCAGAAAAAAAAGTTGAAGTGGGGTCCTCTGAGGTAGTCCCAAAAGCTTGTTCAGTGGAAGATGGCTTATGAAGCCAAAAAAAAGAAAATTTAAGGTTTTAGGAGATACACGGGATGTAGTAGCCAAACTTCTCTGAAGCAATTTTGGGAAAAGCACTGAGGATCCCACTGTGAAGTTTCAGTCCTTGGGACTCTTTGGCTATGTGCAGATTGCCAAGATACTTGGTGCAGTAGGGGAGGATCAGTAGATGAAAGCAGTTACTGCTGAGACTTGTACATCTACACTACATGCAGCTTAAGACTACATTTAGTCTGTTTCCTTGGATAAATGTCCCCACTGCATATGCAGTTTGAAGCAGGCCAAATAATCGGTTCAGACTCTTAATGTCTCTTTTAGAGGCTGGAGTATATTTGGCATGCAGCTGAGCCTCCAGTGTAGTTTCCTCCAAAATAAACTTAATCGTTGTGTACAAAAACCAGTCTGCAAACTGAACCAAGGCTCAATAAGGGAGGATGATTGGGAATTCACTTCAGAACAGCACTACTGCCTCAAACCAAAATGCTAATGGAGGCTAGGTCTTTGACTATTTCCCCCTCCCTCCTCATTGTCACAGAACTTAGTGGCTGAAGGCAAATTAAAGCAACCTCCTTCCCTTTTCCTCCCTCTTCCAAAAAAGAAAAAAAAAAAAAAGTAAAAATTAGGCAACCAAACACTAAAGGTAGGTGAGTAAGTGGAAGAAAAAAAAGAGATAATTTTCAGTCAGTATAAATTGACACAGCGCTACTGACTTAAGATAAAACCTCTGGAAAAATGTACACGCAACTGTTTTCAGATGTCACACACGTTAGTTCTCTTGTCAGATTGTGGATGGGGTCTTTATTTCTTAGTGTGTCTTTGTGTTCAATGTTAGCACACCATTCAGACAAAGGAAAAAAAAGGGGTGGTTTGTGGAAAGCTTGCTTGTTGAGACAATATGCTTAATGTGTTCTGTGTTCAGACGAGCACTTATTTATTATAAATGGAATGTATTTGAATTACTGTTATATGTTGATCTCATTGTGTCACTTTAGGTTTTGATTATTAATGAAATGCTAGTAAGTATCTCCTATGCATTATGCAGCGTTATTTGAATTATTCATCTGTGGCAAGCGGAGTTCTGCACTTTAAAACGTCGCCTTGGCCTAATGTTTATATTTATTCTGTGTTTTTTGTGTAATCAGAAATCTTTGTAGGGGAAAAAAATGTGTATTTGTGCACTGTACTGAACATTTTCAGTATTGTAAGTGAACTTCCTGTTACAAAAAGAAATGTTAAAATGACGCTGTTTAAAAATCTGTTCCTGAGTATACACTCATGAATGAAAAAATTACAATGGTTTTATGAAAGTTGACATGAACAGTAATGTTTTAATTTAAAAATATTTACAGAGAAATAGATTTTTTAAAATTTTAATCATGATTATGCAATGCAGATGAGCAAAAGGTAATAATTCTTGCTAAATATCTACTGTTCCGCTAAGCAAAGGAGAATGTAACTATTCTTGATTATACATTTAAAAAGAATATGCAAGTCTTGAAAAATAAAAAGCCCAAGTTCTTTCAAAGAATAATCCCAGTTTTAAAAGGAAAAGATATTAACAACATTGCTTAGACAAGCTGTTTAAAAATATTGTTTTAAGCATTTCTGGGAACAATCCGTAACAGATGATAAGGTGGACAGCTTTTAAAATACTGGATTTGTATGAATAAACGGTGCTGCCTTATCGGAAGCCCTGTGTGTAGCAGTGGTCAACTCATCTCTAAAATGATAGTGTACAAGTAAGAAGATATTTAAAAAAAAAGCCAAGGGATTTTGAAAATTTGAGAAAGGACTGGGGAAAAAAAAAAGAATTTGAGAAGAGGTTTGAAAAGGGTGGTAGCAGAATACAAAATAATGCAAAGTACAAAGAAGCTAGATCAGAGGAACTCATAAAAACAAGATGACGTCAGTGAAGTTTTACCTGGGAAACGCTCAGGAAAAAAGATACATTTTCAGACAATGTTCTGTTAAAGCACGGACCTCATTCCTTCTGAAAGTCATTGAGGCCCAACAACTGAGCAGATTTCCAAAGCAGTTACTTACATTCTTAATAATACAAGCCCAAATAATTGTAGCTAATCGTAGCATAATTACATAACACTTTTAACCTCTCAACCTCTGCTTCAAGATTTAAATCAAAATTACCTGTAACAACTCCGGAAGAAACCTAATGCAAGGGCGTGTTATACTTTATTTCCACATGTCCTATGAAACATTTGACATTGGCCAGGTCAGAGACTGAACTAGTCTGGTCCCGGGGAAGAACCTCTGCTCCTGCATACCCCAAATGTCGTCCCCTGTCATCTGCCTGGTGGTGCAGTGATGACTGAGTCCGACACAGGAAGACAAGCATCTGGTGTGACTAGAGCAACTGAAAATAAACTGGTTTAAAAATCAGATTGTTTTGAAGTTAAGCACACTGCAGAGAGCACAGCACATTTTAAATTACATAAGCATATACCTAATAGTGAAATTCCAGGTACTAGAAACTTTGGCTTAATGTTGGGGTTTTTTTAAACCCTTGTACTATACGTGCAACAACTCGTGCTTCTCTCAACAGAGAAGCCAGCAAATGACATCTGCAAGGCTCTCTGTACAAAAATCAATAACAACAGCAACAAAAAACAATTCTTGGGAAGCCAAAAGGACATTAGCAACATCAACAACCATCTGTTGTGTAAAGTTAATAGAACTGTTAGTTTTTCTCGAAAGGCCGAGCAATGTTTTTGGAGGGCAGTTTCCTGGAAATTTCTTTCATGGAAAATGCCCTGAATCAGAGTGTACTCCAACCAATGAAGTCCCCTGTGGCTTCTGCAGAGGCAATCACTTCTGTAGAAGTGAATGTAATAGTCATGCCTAGACTCACACTTCCTCCCCCAGTCAGGACTCAGAAGTGTGTATTCGCTTTAATTCTGCCTTTAGTTTGTGGTTTCTCATACAATTGGTTTTAGTTTGAAAATAACTATGCTGAATTAGTGGAGTTGGGAGAAGGATAAGGCTAAAAGGCAATCTTACACCCGCCCGCCTAACACTTCAACTCAAAAGATTTGTCCCATCAGGTAGATGTTACTACGTTTGCACAGCTCTCAGACTCAGTGACTTGGCTTAATGACTTGAGTCAGCTGGTAACAATTAAACCCAGCCAAGACCAGGACATAAACTGTGAGCAGCTGACAAAAACATAAAAATGTTTTACCTTGATCTGCACAAAAGTCA